GATTGGACTACATCAGGGATCATCTCTGAGTTCTTATTTGTTCAACTTGATCTTAAATGTTTTGATGGAACATATTCAAGAGGAAATTCTAAAATGTATGCTCTTCGCGGATGATATAGTTCAAAGGTTAATTGCAAACTTGAGTTATGGAGGAGGACATTGGAGTCGAAAGGTTTTCGTCTGAGTAGAAGTAAGACGGAATATTTATATTGTAAATTTGGTAAAGGACTATTCGACAATAATTTGAAAGTGAAATTGGGAGATCAAATTATACCTCAAGTGGAAAAGTTTAGATATTTGGGGGCCATTATTTAAAATGATGGCGAAATCAGTGGAGATATTTCACATAGAATTCAAGTTGGGTAGTTTAATTGGAGAAAATCTAAAGGAGTTATTTGCGACCGTAAGGTGCCTAATAAACTTAAAGGAAAGTTTTATCGCACTGCTATCAGACCTACAATGTTATATAGTAGTGAATGTTGGGCTCTAACGGGACAGCAAGAGCATAAAGTTGGAGTAGCAGAGATGAGAATGTTACAATGAATGTGCGGACATACACGTAAAGATAAAATTCGAAATGAGCACATACGCGAAAAAGTGAGGGTGGCATCTGTTGAGGAAAAAATGATAGAAAATTGGTTGAGATGGTTTGGGCATGTACAAAGAAGACCAAGGGAGGCACCAGTGAGAAGAGTGGAATATATAACTTTGAATCCGATTAAGAGAGGTAGAGGAAGGCCTAAGAGAACACTCTTGAAAGTTGTTGAACGCGATCTCTTAATTAATAATATTCTTAAAAGCTTGATAAATGATAGAGTACAATGGCGTCTTGTAATCCATGTAGTCGACCCCACCTAGTGAGATAAAGGCTTGTTGTTGTTGTTGTATTACTCTTAAAAAAATGATGCACTAAAATTTTAATTGTCATTATAAAAATACTTATATATGATATTTAATAAAAGTATAACTAAACATCTGTAAAATTAAAAAAATTAGATTTTAACTAATATTTTTTAAAATAGTAAATTAATTGTCAATATTTTATATCCTAGTTTAAAAGGGGTATAAAATTTTCAGCAACCGCAATTATTAGTGTGTGAAGGCACAATTTTTGCATTTTTCCTGGTCCAGCGCAAAGGCATTGGTTGAATAATATGTGATTGATTTGGTCCTACAGCCTGTAGATAGCTCTTTTTTTTTTTTCCCCTCTCTCTTTAAAGGAGAATCACATCTAAAAACTTTTTAAAAAAATTATTTACAGATAAAAATTAACAATAAATTTTATTTAAGAAAAAACATGTTATGTTTTTATTTCAACAATAATCCGTTTCGTATTGGTCTAAGGACTTCTCAATGAAATTATTCACAGACGATGACTAACAACAAGTTTCATTTAAAAAAAAAATAGATCATATTTTTATTTTAATAATAATCCATTCTATACTGATCTTTATTTGTGAATAATTTTATTGAGAGGTCTTAGAGAGAATCGCATCCAAAGACCCCTCAAGGAATAACCTAAAACCTCTCAAGAAAATTGTTCACAGATAAAAACTATTCTTAATAAGCCTCATAAAATCTATGTATTGTGAATGGGGTTCTTTAATGATGTAATATCCTCATTTGAAATCTCATATTCTCTTTGATCCTATTTGTATTTTACTTTTACTTTTAATTTGTTTTACTAGAATTAATGAAAATTTTAAATTTTATTAATTCTGTATAACATGTTTCTACCAATATCACCTGACAAAGACAAGAAGAATTATTTTTCATAAACTTTAATAGAGGCATAAAGATAAAATAAACTAAAAAATAATAAAATATTTTATAAATGGAATTAACCTCTACATTGTAAATAGTACGAGAGGAGTAATATATATACATACAAGAAGTACTCTATTTATTTAATTTATTAATGTCAGGGATGGTCATGGAACTTTGATGACTTCAAATGTAAAACTGATGAATGGAACACACAAGCTAAGAAACTTCAGCCACTGTGAGAGAGAGAAAACTGACTAAATGAATGCTTGCAATTTTAAACCTTGGGAGCAAAAAGTCGAGATTTTTTATACCCTCCTGCATTACGTGAATGTTGCGAGCCCGAATTCAGCGGTGTTCTCACGGTCAATGGTATACCGCGTGAGAAATTCCCACAGTCAATGATATCAATGAAAAGTAGGGTGCATGAGTTGTGACGTGACTCCACTTAATATATTCTCAGAGTTAGAGTTGAACTCGAGCAGTTTATTCCGGTCAACGTTGAAGTGCTACCATGGTATGAGGGTTCTCAGTAGTTTCTCCGCACAGCTTTGTTCGAACCATGCGACTTTCTCACATGCAGACCTTGTCCGCAAGAGCAAACGCCTGTGTTACGTGTAAAAGCAGCAATATTGAATCCATTTGGATTGCTGATGAAATTAAAGCAAATGCATATAACGCATTACGTGAATAAGCATGGATCTGAATTTTCCCCATATCCTTTCATGATATATCTCTCCATACCTCATTATATGCATCCATTTAATTATTCACTCAATTTAATTGTGTCAAATTGCTAATTGTGGCATTAAAATAAATAAATTATTCACTACTATCACTTAAATGCTTTTAAAAATAAATTTATAATGCTTATTTATGATGATCATTAAATGATAATTAACTATCTGACACCATTAAATTAAACAAATAATTAAATGGATGGATATGCTTGAGTATAGAAGAATGTATTGAGAGAGGATCCAATTCCAAACAAGCATATAATATAACCAAAGACATTTATTTTTGTATTCTAACATTTCATTCTTTTAGAACTATGTTGTATTTTTTTAGGTTGGAAGAATCACATTGAAGAACTTTATAAAATTATTTATTGTTATAATGATAATAGCGACTTGTTTTTTTAAAATAGTAATTTTTTTTGGCTATTGTTTGTGAATAATTCTTTTAAAAGGTCCTTAGATGTGATTCTCCCTTTCAAGTTCCATAGTAAATTAAACTTGCATTTTTTGTACAAAAATGGGCTTTATATATAGAAAAAAAATACAATCATTAGTCTTTAGAGTTTTATCAAATTTTATTTTTAGTCTCTCATAGTTTTTTATCAATGTTTTCCATCTTTAAAATTTCAAAAATATTGGGTGATGATTATTTTTTAGGTCCCTATACAGTTTCAGCTTTTTTAGTGTTTTTAACCTCTATAAAGATTGAAAATACTATAAAAAAATTTATAAAACCAAAAGTAAAAAACAGTGAAATTACATAAATATGATCGTTATTTCAGTTTATAAAACCAAAACTTTAAAGGGGACCAAAAGAGAAAGGCCTTGATTATTTCCAGGAAATTTATTTGATCGTCTCCTACCATTAATCCTATAACACTGCACATATGTTAAAAGAGTGTGGAGCTTCACACAAGTAATTAAATAACACGCATAATCTAAACAATGGTTATTCGCTTATTGCAATAAATCGTGATTGTTTTGCAGAGACTGATTAAGCAAAGACAAGACTGTCCACTAATTACGTATAAATGGCTCAATATTAAATCAGTTATGTTAATTTCGTGGCAATGTTTCATGAGAAAGACGACGTAAGCAGTGACGGATTGAGAAAATTTTATTAGAGGGGGCAAAATTTATACTAAATATAAATATTAATTATTTTGAAGAAAATATAATTCTAAATATTAATGAAAATAATATATAAATAAAAGTTATAATAATTTTAAAAATATATATTAATGTCATTTGCATCATAAATTTATTTTTATAATAAATATGAGTAAAAAATATTTTTAAATATGTATGCTTGATAATTTTAAAGAGAGTGTGAGGCAATTAATTTTTATGGGGGACAACAATAATTTTAAAAGGAGGGCAAGTGTAGTTTTAACTAAAACTTAGATAAAATATTTATTTTTTTAGTGGGGGCAGTTGCCCCCTCTATCCCTAATGATGATACGTCGCTGGACGTAAGATGAGATGAGAATCCACATGCCTATAACTGTTAATCACGTAGAACGCGGGAACATAAGAATTAGTATTTGATTAATGCCCAGTCATCAGCAACAATATTGAAGCATATAGCCATGGGCAAAAGAAAAAAATAATTATAATAATATAATTAGATATATGTCAAATTTTCTCAAGACTAATATTTCTCTAGGTGATTTTTAATTTTATCACATCAGTATATACATGATTTGAAAATCTTATTTTCACCATGGCATTCACATCTCACTTTATACTTACTATAAGTAACGGACACAAATTAAAACAAAAAAAGATAAATGGTCTCTCTAGCTCCTTCGAGAGAGAATATATATAACAATAATTATAAATATATACTTATGGAACGAGTTTGATCCAATGAATTAATCATGCATTAAATGTAATTTTGTATTAATGAAATAAATGTTATTAACTCTTATTATATGATACAAGTAACATTTATTACTCTAATTTTATTTATAAATCACTTTTAACATGTTTTATTATAATTAAAGAAGACTTTAAAACTCATTAACTTTATCTAAAAATTTAATAATTTCTTAACTTTATTTTTATTAAATATATATACATTAATATTATATTTTTTATTTCCAGCATTCTGTGAAAGACATATGAGAAATTTTATGATAAAAATTTAATAAGGTAATTTATAAATAGAAAAACATATATTTTCTTACCATCCTGTAAATAGGAGCAAAGGGAGTATAATTGTCTGATTAGACGCGAGAAAGACATGCAAGAGGCAATTATATAATCAAAGGGACGAGCATGCAAAGGGCACTTCCTTGAAGCAAAACTCCAAAGTTGCGTGCCGCTTTTCCTTCGCTTTAATTTAATTTAATTTAATTACTGAATTATGCGAAGCATCGTTATTACAACAAAAACTATAACCTCTCCACTACTCTCTCCACTTCACCCTCTCTCTAACCTATAAGTACCTGCAATTTCTCTCTCGAACCATACACTTTCTCTCATCAGTTTATTAATTAATTAACTCCCACTGATCTTCTCCACCACCACCTTCTTCCTCTTCACTTCTCAAAATGCCACAAACTTCTCATCATTTTCACCTTCTTCCTCCTCCATCACCGTTGCTCCTCTCCTTCTTCTCCATCTTCTTTGCCTTCGCCTTTTCCGAAAAGCCTCACCCCACCTTCAACGTCGTCAGTTTTGGAGCCCATCCCTCCGGTGAGTCCGACTCCACCGACGCCTTCCTCGCTGCATGGGCCCAGGCTTGCCGTTCTCCTCATCCTTCCGCCATATATGTCCCGCCGGGGGAGTTCCTGGTGGGCCATGCTCGGTTCCGAGGGCAATGCCGCAACAAGGCCATCTCCATAATCATCGACGGCACGCTCCTTGCTCCTTCCGATTACCGGAGCGTCCACGAAGAGTACTGGCTGCTGTTTGAGCTTGTCGACGGTGTTTCCATCCACGGCGGAGTTCTCGATGGTCGAGGGGCCAGCCTGTGGGAATGCAAGAACTCCGGTGGAATTTGTCCTCCAGGAGCCACGGTGAGTCTCCCCTTGCTACTTTGACTAATCATTGATTTTCTCGGCATCCAAACGGGGAGTCCAGAAAACTGTGTGTGTTCGTCTGCAGACATTTGGTTCTTCCCCTGCAATATTTTCAACTTGAGGAATCAGAATGCCTTTCTTTTTTTCATGATTATGACAATTTAAAACAGTTTTAAAAACTCTCTTTAAATCACTTAATTCATGTTTTTTCATTTAAAAATGTTGATTAGTCGCTCACATGCATGTTACTGGCTGTTCATGTTCAACGAATGTAACTAATTAATTACATCGAACGAAGGAGAAAATGTAGCAATGTGATCTTTTGTGTGTGCAGACACTGGGATTTAGCAATTCCAAGAACATTCGCATTAAGAGCTTGACCTCGCGCGACAGCCAAGTGTTCCATATAGCCTTCAATGGGTGCCGCAAGGTTAGAGTGAAACACGTCAGCGTGGTGGCCGCCGAAAACAGCCCCAACACCGACGGCATTCACGTTCAGTATTCATCCGACGTCATCATCCTCCACTCCGAAATTCGCACCGGCGACGACTGTGTTTCCGTCGGACCGGGCACGTCGGACCTCAGGATTGAACACGTGGCTTGCGGACCAGGTCATGGAATTAGGTACGTGGTCTCTGTATATATATAAATATATTGTTGATTATTGATATTGATTATTTGATGGTGGGGCTCTGGTATCCCACCTTTAAATTATTTCTTGTAATGTGTCAATTTTCTAATAATTTTTTTATATAATTATATCCTACATAAAATATTTTGATAATAACACAGTTTTGAATGTCTAACAATTTTTTAATATAAATACACAATGCATAATTTTTGAGTATTTTTCTTTTAAAAATTATATACAAAATTGTATGGTTTAAGTAACGTAAAATATCAAAATGTCTTTCTTTTTTTTTTTATATGATGTCTTTCATTTTTATTTAAAAAAGTGCTTGCCATTTTATATAGAATTTAATAATCATTAAAAAATAACAAATTAAATCAATCATTATTGAAAGATTAAGATATTACAAGGGGTACGTATTTGAGATTGGCATGAGACCATGAATTGGTCTCTAGCTTTAGGAAATCTATTGATTATTTTTTTTAGAAATTAAGTAATACTACGTTTTTAATTGTATGTAATATGATATAGTAAGAAAAAACGGCTTTGCTCATTTGAAAATTCAACAACTTAGTCTCTAACTCAACAATAATTTCGCCTTACATCTTCAAAATTCTTGGCATGCGGCCTTGCTAGTTTAGTTATTAATGAGGTAAGCTGTGGGCTATTAATTTGCGCAGCATTGGAAGTTTAGGGAGGGAGATGGAGGAGCCTGGGGTACAAAGAGTGACAGTTAAAGCGGTTAACCTGACGGGTACTCAAAATGGAGTGAGGATCAAGTCATGGGGCAGGCCCAGCCATGGCTTTGTGAACAGAATCGTTTTCCATAACATAGTCATGCTGGACGTGCACAATCCTATCATCATCGACCAGAATTACTGCCCCGATAACATCAACTGCCCCGGTCAGGTCAGTCTCTCAATCACTTTAACTTTTGAGACCTAAATCTGGTTTTAAATTCTGTTGCGTAATCAGGCTTCGGGGATCAAGATCGGGGACGTCAAGTACAAGAACATTCCGGGAACGTCAGCATCAGAAGTTGCTGTGAAATTTGATTGCAGCTCCAAGCACCCTTGCTACTCTCTGAGGATGGAGGATGTCAACCTCACCTACAAGGAGCAAGAAGCTCAGGCTCTCTGCAACAACGCAGCCGGCACCGCCTCCGCTTGGGTCCGCCCTGAAAGCTGCCTGTAGGAATGTTGCTTCTTGTCTGTGAGTCCGTTGGGCTTGTTCCCGGCCTTGCATTCATGGTGGCCTATTAGGAAGCCCAACGTATCCGTGGCTGCTCTTATGTGCTAATCCTGAGTGTATTATATTTATGTATACTAGTTAGATAGTTAGATATGTGAATTCTTATGTGGAACTTTTTAAAAGCAGTCACAATACTTATCAGACACTTCTAATTCTAATTCAATAATTGTGTTTAAGAGTAAGTAGAGGGGAAAAAAAATTATATACTCAATTTTATATATTCAAAATACTTATTTTTAATTAAATCAAGGCATAAGTATTTTTTATAAATTATTTATTCTATAACAAATTTTTGTTATTAACATTATTAACATATTAAAATTTACATGAATAGATTTGATTAGAGAAAAATATCACATGTATATAAAATTAAGTACGTAAATCTTGCCTTAACTAAAATAAATGTCGTGTGACGACATGAGCTGATGCCATTCACCTGGAATTACCAACGATGACCAGAAATAATGATATATATATATATATATATATAATTAAGATTTATGAGATGACATTGTTGGCCAACAAATAATTGAGATGAGATAATATTAATATGTAACGGGACCTAATTTGGGCTCTCCACTAGGGGCGAAAAAGTCAATCCAACTGCGAGCCAGTGTTGCCCTAGACGCTGGAATTACCAATGATGACCAGACGCAAGGCTGAGATCTAAGTTATCAAGACGATCCAACGGCCATTGTCCACTCTCATTCTCCTTTATATACACTTCCATTGGGGCGACCTCGTGCTGCTGCATTTAGCTACCGCCACTATCGCAGTCGCACCGTTTCATTCTCCTCTCGAGTTTTTGGGGCTTGCGATCTTTGCCGAGAGATCAACAATGGTGAGCCTTGTTGCTTTTGCTTTATTCACTTCTCGGTCTTTTTCTAGAATTGGACTTTCTATCTTCGTTTGTGTTCTCTCGGACCTCTGTTTGGCGGTTCTGATGTGATCATCGGCGTTTACAGGTTCTCCAGAACGATATCGATTTGCTGAATCCTCCGGCCGAGATCGAAAAGAGGAAGCACAAGCTTAAGCGTCTCGTTCAATCCCCGAATTCGTTCTTCATGGTAATTACTTCCTTCGTCTATTGAAGACCGATTATTTGAAAAAAGAGTTGCTTTATTCAGGCACGATTTTATTTATCAAGTTACATTTAAACAAAATGCACCCTGGTATGTATAGTTTACGGGCGTTTGTTACATACAACGGTGCTTTATGTAGATTTATTCTGTCCCCTTTGTAGTATCGTTGCTGCTATTATACTCTATTTTTGATTAATTATTTTGATTTTGAATTTATGTAGGACGTCAAATGTCAAGGTTGCTTCAATATGTAAGTTACTCCAATATACATGTCTTTCAAGTGTAATTTTCCTGCAGTTGAATTATTGGTTGTTTTAGTTTCTGCAAATGGTTAAAAAAAAAGAAGCTTGATTTGAACTTTTGGTCTTAAGGTAGAACATTTTGTGCCTGCAGAACCACCGTATTTAGCCACTCGCAAACAGTCGTTGTCTGTGGGAATTGCCAGACGGTATTGTGCCAGCCAACTGGTGGCCGAGCTCGGTTAACAGAAGGATGCTCTTTCAGGAAAAAGGGAGATTAGTGTTCAGGCCTATCATCTATCACCGGTGCCTTTGTGGATTGGTTTCATCTCTTGACGAGGAAATTTTGGGTGTTCATGGCTTTGATAATGTCGTTATATTTGTAATATTTCTATCGTTTCTTTATCTAATGGTACTTGGTTTTTCGATGTCAATGCATGTTATCCTTATTTATAGATTATGTTGAGTAAATGAGCTTTATTTGATCTGTCCTTTTGTCCTCAATTGCATATTTTACGTCGAGTTCTAAACGAAATCTTTTATGTCATTTTTTTGTGCAGTCTTTGCCATCACATAATGACCTTTTTTGGGTATCTTCAGCAATGCAAACCTGATCAATTCAATTTTTGATGTGATAATTTCTTTATTTCCATTAATATATTAAAACCTGATCCCACAACTTGTAAGGTTGTCTCTATGGTCTTGAATTGTGGTAGGGATGATTGTAGGAAAATGTTGGTTTTAGTTTGTAGTTAGAAATATTGTAGGAAGGATTTGAGAAATTGATGTAATATATTAGGGAGCTCACAGCACAATATTACTATTGCTGTGTTAGATCATTTGTCCTCAGCAGCCAACCCCTAGCGTACAGAGACTTTCTTTCTGGCATGTCTTAGTCTCGTCTTCCTTGCATGGATTTTTTCGATGGCCTTTCATTCACTAAAAAAAAGAAAAAAGGCTTTGATTTTTCCATGGCCTTGCGGAATTCTTATGTCAAGAGCTTGTTTTATAAGCACGGGTTTCAGAAATACTATGGAGTTGATTTTGTGCCTGGGATGCACTGCCCAAAGCATTTTGCTGGTCCTTGATTTTTACTAATATTTTACCATTAGGCCCGTGATGGATTAAGGATTTTTCTGTGTTTATATTTTTGGCGAAACAAAGGCCACTTAGCATGAATGAAAGATTCAATGTCTTTTGGGTTGTCTCCTCCAAGTGAATGGTTAGTTAATTTCATATATGGAGACGCATCACACGTGTTCTCTGTTTACGCCGTGTTTGATTAAGAGTTGAGCAATTAGCTTATCCTCAGGGTGTATTGTCAATTGTAAATTGTTAAAATGGTGCGGTGTTCGTTATAATATCGCGTGAAGTCTATGGTGCAGGATGTCTTTCTACATATTCGACTAAAGATATTGACAAAATTATCCTAAACAATTGTTCACTTCAACGAACTTTGTAAACAATCGGTTTATTCTAAATTTCTAATGGGGAGATGTGTAAGTTCTTTCATCTCAATTATTTGGACGTAAATCTTTTGCTCCGTTGGGTACTCTGAAGAGTAGGCGGAAGAGGAAATGAGGTAGAATTGTCTTTTCTCTTTTCTCTTTTTTATTTATACGAAACAATTGGTTTCTTTTCTCTCTTTCTCTTTTATTTGGTGGGGCATGAATGCACTAATGGCTATGACGAGGATCAGTTAATTTCTGCAATTTTATTTTAAAAACTCCATGCTCACAACAATGATTAGTATTAGTAATATTGCTTGCCACCAAAATTTCAAGTGCATTAATTTTTAAGCTGCAGTTATGATGTGGGGACGAATTGATTCCACTACTCAATTCATTTATCATGCTCCACAAAATTTACTGGCTAACAATTTAAGGTGGAAGACAATGTCTATTTTTTTAGTAGCAATATTTTCTGCAAAATAAAATGTGTTTGAGAAATAATACCTAGGAGGATCCTTACCCAGCTGCATGAAATAAAAAAGACCGAAGTCAAATGTTAACCTTCTTTCATTTATGGAGGTGTTTTGACATGGAGATTAAAAAAATAATTAAATATATAAAAAATAATTAAAGATAATAAATATTAGCTTTTTTTGTTGAAAAAGTAATTATTAATGAACAAAAATTACAGACTAAAATCGTGATCAAGTGACACAAACTAATATAACAAAATTTTTTTGCCCAAAAAAATATTAGTTGAAAAATTATTTTTCAGATGAAAATTAAAAACACTTTTAATACATATTTTAGAATTTATATAAAACTACAATATATTATAAGTCATGAAGTGTGTTCAAGGTATTCAAAATCGAATCGATCAAGCCAATGGGTTAGTGGTTTAATCGGGGTTGAACTGGAGGTCAACTTGGAGGCAAATTGATCATAATTAAAATAATACAAGTTAAATAAAAAGATTTCAATCATGAAAATATTTAACTAAATTGAAGATTAATCTCTAATACAAGATTCAAATACAACAATAATTATAGAATTAGAACGACCCAAAAATCTAATAATAATAAAATATAATTTTTTAAATATTTATTTTTACAATTACAATTTACAACAATTCAATCATTAAAAAGTCTAAAACTAATAATCACTAACACTAAAATCATCAACAATAACAAATATAATTCATAAATATTAAGCAACAATTAGACAAATGAACAACAGTAAATAATGAAATATTAAAACAATTAAGACACAATTAACTTGAAAGAATACTAAATCTTCTAAATTTAAATTTACAATTAAAGCCCTCTATTCAAAGTTTGAACTATAGATAGTAAAATTTAGTTTAATTGTCTTGCCCTCTGTTGCCTTACTTTTTTAATTTTTAAACTAATTTTATTACTTTTTATTTAGTTTTTACAATTAAAAAAAAAGTGACCTAGCTAACCCAACAACTTAGACAAGTTATCTCAGGTTGACCTTGGGTTTGCTGGGTCAATGGTTGACTGATTTAGGTGGGAACTTAGACTGAAAAAGAGATCGGGTCATTGGTTCATGGCTAAATGGGTTAGTTTGATCCATGTTTTCATATAATAGTAACTTGTATTGAATTCCATGTGAAATAAGGGGTTTAAAGTTACAATATAATTCCTCTGTTAAAAAATATAACGTATTTTTAATTAAATTTTATTTTTTAATAAAGTAGTTATTTATTTTTAAATTAAATTTATCTTTACATATTTATCTTTATTTAATAAAGTATCTCACTCTAAAATAAATATAAAATAATTTATTTAATAGAGTTACTTTTGAAAAAAAAAAGATAATGATTATATTTTGAAAGATTAATTTTTTTTTTACATTTTTAATATCAAACTTCTAAAACAATATCTTATATTTTTTAATAAAAAGAGTAAAAATTATCATGAAAAATTGGATTTCATGGTACCAAACAAATAAAAATATTGGTTTCGCTTTTATCTTCACTTTCATTTCTTCCATCCCAATTCCTAGCTACCAAACAAGCCGTTAAAGAACAGCTTAAACGAGTTCTCAAGTTCCAAACTAGGCATCGATTCGAGTTCCGAGTTCCCACCCACTTCTTCAGAGAGAAGACATATCACGACTCGTGTCTCTCTCTCTCTCTCTCTCTAGTCTCTCCTCGTGCGTCCAGTTCCTTCTCCTTACTGTCTATAAGAATCTCCCAGGGCGAAGAAATTTCCACCCCACATCTTAATATAGGTGACTCATGTAGCTGAACTAGCCTAAGATAGAGTGATCAACCCTTTCTTTCTGCTCTGATTCTTCCTAATTACTTGGTTCCTCACTGTTTTTAATTCGCCGAAGTCGATTTTCACTTGCTGCGAACAGTGAACCATGGGGAGGGAAGATAGTTGCGCTACCCAACTCATTGACGGCGACGGCGTGTTCAATGTTGCTGGGTTGGACGCTTTCATGAAGAAAGCGAAGGTCGCCGACTGTGGCCTTTCCTATGCGGTAGTCGCTATTATGGGTCCCCAGAGTAGTGGTAAGTGGCTAAGTGCATGGATACGGGTTTGTCAACTTCGAAATCGAGTACTGGTCATTTAGATTTTGCTCAATAGAGTTAATTCTCCCTGGTGTTTTGAGTTGGATTCTTGAACCTTGGCGAGCTTGAATTAATGGCTTTAAGCTTATATGTTCTCTGTCTTTCTTCTACTTGTATCTGGAAAATTTTGGCCTGCTGTCGAACAATAGCTGCCACCGTTCTAGCTTGGGTACTGGCTTACTGTTCTGCACTATTTCAATCTCTTGAGAACCTAATCTATTGTTTTCCGGAATTGCGTTATGGAGATCCAGATAGAACCATCATGTCAAATCTACGAAGAACCCCTTACTCTGGCCGTTGGCTTGCTTTTAAATCTCTGTCTTACTTTACAGAGATGGGCCAGCTGTAGAACAGACATACGCTTTAAAGAGCTTTTTGGTTTAATACTTATTGTGTTCCTGATCATCTTCGGGCCCTTTTGTCCTTTTCTTTTCTTTTAATTTGGGTGGAGGTTTGTGGAAGGACCTGTTTCGTTGCTGGAGTCAAGAAATGTTCGTTGAAATTGGTGGTTCAACTGACAAACCATCACCGTATAAACCAAAGCTGTTTCGATAATTTGGGATGGTGTTGAATTTCATTGATGTCACTTGGCGGTGAAAGTAATATTGGTTCCGAAATTTTTTGATACCATGTATAACTAATTACAATCCATGGAATGTATGATGGATATTGAAACTGATATGAGAGGTGAAAGAAATGGAGATAATAACTCACCTATGCCACCCAGTTTATTAAGTTTGATTTCTCATATGTACATCAGTACATGTTAGATTTAATCTGTTACTTTTACTACTTTTCTGAACAGGAAAAAGCACCTTACTGAATCATCTTTTCCACACAAATTTCAGGGAGATGGATGCATACAGGGGAAGGTTGGTTTTTTTAGAGTATCAAGCAATGTTTTTTTGGAGCAATGGTGGAAAATTATGAGTTAAAAAAAGAAAACAGAACATGAATCTATATTGTATTGAAGTTTACAACCTTAAGACGGTAATAACAATGTATTGGGTCTTTACAGGTCTCAAACAACAAAGGGCATTTGGATAGCCAAGTGTGTCGGTATTGACCCATGTACGATTGCCATGGATTTAGAGGGTACTGATGGAAGGGAGAGGGGTGAGGTAAAAAATTTATGTAATGAAGTTCTTGCTTTTCATCTTCTTTTTTCCCTCTCCTTGAATAGTTTTTGTGTACATATCCTGTATACCAGCGCAACAATTTGGTGGTTAAGTCGGAATCTTCTGATCTTTTTTCTTGCCAAGAAAAATAACTGCCAGAATGTTGTCAAGTGACAAACGTACAAAGAATTAACATAATCAATATAATAAATGACTTGATGTTGCTCAAAGAATCAATCATGAAAGTTCTAAATGAAACTGAAAATAGTCGAATGATGGGTATATCTATCAAGTCATCCACTGCTACTCAATCATT